GTGTCATCTGTAAATGACAAGCATGCCTTTATTCAAGATATTAATATAAATGTTATACAGTAAAGGGCCAAGTATATATCCCTAGGGAACTCCATGAGAGACCTCCAAGTTGACATTGACTCATTAATGACTACTCTGGAGTCATTCAACCAGTACTGAATCCATATAATTAACTATAACCTAGTATATATCTCTTCAACTTTCCATAAGGTTAGAATGAGGTATTAAATACATTCTAAAATCTAGGCAATCTGTATTTACAGAATTCCCCCCATCTAAGAACTAAAAAGGAATGAAGTTTAATCTGAACACTAGCCCTTGGTTACCACTTCTTCCCTTTTAAATGTTCATAAACCATCATCTCTAAAAATAGGCGCTAAAATTTTGTCAGGAATCAAAATCAAGTCCATCAGCATATAGTTGGTAGGCTCTACTCTCTTCTACCAGTGTACAGCGAAGTGCAGAAGTCAGGATATTTACACTGCTTTCCAGTCCTGTGGAACTTCTCCCCTTCACAATAATCTTTCAAATACTGTTAACAATAGCTCAGCAATTATTCCGACCTGTTATTTCAGTACCCTGAAATGTAGTTGGTACAAGCCTGAAGACTTGAGCTCATAAAGCTAAGTTCTCTTTTACTATCTCTTTACTTATCTTACAATAAACTTTTTTTTCTTTACCAGTCTAAAGATCAGTCTCCATGGTAGAGAAAGTTGAAGCACAATAAGAGATGTATAGTTTTTCTTTCCCTCAGATATAAATCTTGCTTGTTTCATCACTCTCTTTCCACAACATCAACTGATGTGATGATCTTGCCACTGTATTTATCTTTTTGTCTACTCATAGGGAAAGGCTTCCAAGCTTGATGGTGAATACTGTAGGGAAGATTTATAGGAGAACATGAACAAGAATTGTGCAAAATGAGAAAGTGTAGCTGGATTACAATCTGCATATCCAAAGGGAATATCCTTGATGTACTGAAATGGCCACAGCATTTTTTTTCTGTCAGTCATCCACAGAAGTACCATAAATGAAGAAAGGAAAAAATAAGGCAATCTATGTGTATCCTGTGCTTGAGAAGCAAAATATTTCAAAAAGTTTAAAAAGTTTTTTTCAAAGTCTCTAGTAATAATAAATCACATTTATATACCATCCTAAGGTTTATTAAGTTATTTACATCAGCCCTGCCAGGTAGGTGGCACAGATATTACTCTCCCCATTTTGTGGCTAATAGATCTGAGCTTAAGAGTAGTGAAATTAATTAACTAAACCCTTTCCCTCAAAGCCAAGTACAACTGAAGGTTTTTAACAAACCTAAATATAAATTTTAACAAAACAAAATATAAATTAATGATTAATGTATTAACAAACAAATGCACTAAGAAAATAGGAAGAGAGCAACAGCATGGTGAAAAGGATAACAAAACCTGCGCTCAAGTGATGCTTTCTACATATGTATATGTAAATAGATGCACATGTATATATGTGAGGGTATGGACACACACATATACATACTTTTAAAAACCGAATCCTAGGAATTTCATCTCTAATTACAGAAATGGTTAAGATCATGCTGGAATTTAATGAGACTTTTTAAAATAATGCTACTTCTTTTCTCTTGCTGTAATATTCTGAAAAACCTGCCAAGGTTACTATTAAAGTAAGAAATCCCAGACACTTTCAAGACCTAGGCCTTCAGACTTTAGCTCTGAAGTCCCTGCTCTGTTTTTATGTCTTTCAATTCTTTAAGCCTTTAAAATCACACAACATAAATGAAATTGAGAATTATCTTTATCACCACAAAATGTTTGCTTTGTCTTAACATTTTCAAAAATAAAAGTAGCACCTCCACAACACAATAACTCTGTCAATGTTACAGTTTACAAAGTGTTTTCCTCCTAACAACTATACAGTGTAAGTAGCACAGCTGTTAACCTCATTTCACAAATGAAGGAACTTAGTCTCAGGGTGGCCAAATGCCTGGTCCTGGGTCACAGAACAAGGTCAGTGTGGAAGGCAGGTCAAAGGAAAGAAAAATAACTTCAAAGACTTAAGAACTGCGATGATTTCAGTGACCAAATGAAATTCCAGAATCAGTCAGTCAACAAGCACTTATCATTAAAGTGCTTACTGTGTACCAGACACTCAGCTAAGGTGCAGGGATACAAAGAAAGGCTTAAAAAAAAGTCCTTATGTTCTCAAGGAGCTCACGGTCAATGGAGGAGGTAGAACACAAATAACTATATGCAAACAAGACATTTATACACACACACACATACACACATATATATATAGATGATAAACTGGAGATAATCTCAGAAGGAATCACAAAGAGGAGAGCTTTGAAAGTAACATTCTAGGGGCAGCTAGGCGGAGCAGTGGATAGAACCCTGGAGTCAGGAGGACCTGAGTTCAAATCTAGTCTCAGATACGTAACACTCACTAGCTGTGTGACTCTGGGCAAGTCACATAACCCCAACTGTCTCACCAAACAAAGAAAGAAAAAGAAAGTAACATGCTAAAATTTGTTATGAAGTACTTAAAAATAAAAGCAAATTATACATAATGGAGAGTCACAGTTTCAAGTACAACCCTTTCTTCTTAATTGTATGTGGAAATGTTTATTTTAATTTATATTTCTAAGTTCAGAACAAAATAAATGGGAAAAATAAAAAAATCATCTTAACTGATAAAGCAAACATTTTATAAAAGACTAGTACTTCACTCCTAAAACAAATGAAAAGCATAACTTTTCTTTCCCAAATGATAATTTTACATAGATGCTATCTACTTACAAAAGTTTAGCTTAAAAAAAAAAAGGTTTAGCTAATTTTGCCAGCTTGTATCTCCCAGCTCTGGTCAAGTGATCCCATTCATCCCTACCAGCAATCCCCAGGTTATAGAAGGATGAGAATTGGTAACTGACTTTACAAGAAATACACAAAAGCTCCTGATCCGAGGTAACAAGTTATGTCCAGAATGGAGAAATATCTCCATTTTCTTGCCAAGGTCCTATATTTATTATTCAAACTCCTTGTCCAGGTTCTGACTCTTTTCCTATGCTCTGAGCTCAGTGTCCACACATGCCATAGAAAAAATAAGATTTCCATATACTTTGTATTTGTTGAGATCAGCTAAAGTGGACCCATCCTAAGGAACCTCCAAATTTCTGAACACTTCACTCTACATATCTTAAACCCACATAGCAAAATCAGGAGGAATACACACTTGTTTCAAGAAAAAACAAGGGTTAAATAAACTCTTCTAATATCCTGCCTCACTTGTCCTTCATCAGTAAGGAACTCCAGACCTAAGGCTGCTTTCCCTCTGGCCATCCAAAAACCCTTTCATCATATTCACTCAGCACCAATCATCAAAATTAGTTTCCTTTCCTCTCCTCCTCTCTCAATGTTATAAAAGCAAACAATTCTGGTCTCCTGCATACAACACAGCTAGGTATTAAGAGAACAATCAGAATTCTCTAATTGATGGAATTTCAGAAAGTTTTTAGGCTGAAGTGGCCTTCCTTTAAGTCCCACCACATAATCTATTCTGCCTATGTAAAATGTATACCTTGAGAATAAGATGAGAAATGAGCAGAGCAAAAAGATGCTCTGAAATTTCTCTTAAAATTCCCTGAATAAGCAATTCCAGGGGTTGGGAAAAGAACTTGGAATAGGAACAGAAAGATAATTCACTGCTCTCAGTCCCTTCCTTGAGAGAAAGCACAGTAGAATAATCTGCGATTTCTATCTCTATGAAGTCCAAGCCCCAGTTTTTAATGTTTCTTCATCCCTCTATGAATAACTTGAATAAGAGGCAAAACCTATCACAGGAGGAAGGTGATATGCCTTCCTTTAATGGAGGCAGACTCTCTACTCTTAAACATCTTCCCTGTTCTAGATAACAAAAAAAAGGTAAAGGAAGAAACAAAAAAAAGGTAAAGGAAGAAACTGGAGAGGCCCCGTGAAGAGCTTTCTCCTCCACCTATGTCTCTGTTCTCCTTAACAATGCAAGAAGAGCTTTTAGTCTGACTGTATAAAAGTCATTACAATTCTTTTACTACAGCAGTTTAACATGCATACCTAGTTACTGCAACCCAGTAAGGATTATAAGTGTTTTATGTTCCATTTGATTATAGCATTGAAGCTGATCATCCTACGAAAAGTTTGTTGTGTCATGCTCCTCCATTCATGATTCAGAGGCTACATTAGTTCTGACCCTCTTTTGCCTAATATCCTTGCCCAAGTTTCTTATTACTGCCAACTACTCTACCTTCCACTTTGTTTCTGTGATACAGCACTACCCTGACCCCAACACAGTTCACGAGGCTCCTACCTTCTGACCATGTTTCTGGATTATTATTATTACTATTATTATACCTTCCTGACCCTATGACATTTTGTCTACATCTGGCCTCGATTCCTTTGTGACCCTATAAAAAACTGGTTGCCTGTAGCAATATTGCATTAATGTATATTAAAAATGTAAATACTATGCCAGAAGTATTCTAATTTCTGAAAATTTCTAGGTTCTCAGGCTCAAATTCCATATCAACCCTATTTTAGAGCACCTTGGATCCACTCAAACATGATTTTCGACCTTTAGATCTCAAATTATTAAGACTCCTTAGATTCACCCTGAAACAAATTAGAATAAAAATCAAAACCTTAGAGCACAGTAGGCAGAATAACATGAACCAAATCACTCCTCATTAATATAGACTCATGTACCTAAGGCTGCAAAATAATCCAGGACTGGAGGATAAGAATAGGGAATAAAGATTTCTTTCAACCTAAAGTCTACTTGAATACTTTACACTAGAATATCAAATTATCCCTCTAAAAAGTCTTCCTGTTTAAGTCAGTGAGGAAAAGATATCTACTTTCCCAAATTTTTTTTTAATAAAGAAAGCAGAAACATTAAATAAATCAAATTTATTGCATCAAACACATGATTAAATTGTCACAGTTTTCAAATGAAAAATAGGCAAGTCTTACCCGATTTTTCCACTCCTTCTTGTTCACAACCAAGGATTCAGAGGCAATTTGGGATCTTAGACCTCAGACCTCCGATTCATCATAATATTGGAGATGTTCATGTAACTCTCCGCTGACAGCTGTTCCTGGTCCCTGCATTAAAAAAAAGAAACAAGTATAAATACTTCTGATTATATAACCATATTAGCAGCCCTCCATCACTAAAAAAGGAATGATATGGGATCCTAAAGTCATCAACCTAGCTCAACAGCAACATAAGTGATAAAAGATAAATTCAAACGTCCATGAGATCAGAGCACTAGCATCAATATGAGGCCTTAGAAATTTAGCTCTGGCTTTGCCACTAAATGGTTATACAACCTTGGACAAGCTAGCTAAGTTCTCTGGACCACAGTTTCTTCATGTGTATCCCAATATTGGCAAATTTTTACTACCAACACATCTGAGATTTGCACTTTTTCCTACCTGGATCCTGCTTCTCCCACTCCCAACTTCCTGTCCCTGCTTCACAGGCTAAGGCTGCAGAGGGTAGGATGGTCCACAGCAGCAAATTTAGGTACTTTATCATTCCAGGGTATAGCTTAGGTCAGGAAACACAGAGAGACTCTGAAGTCCTTTCAGCTCTTTATAACTTAACAAATCTTTTCTCCGAGGGTCAAAGTGTAATTTCTACTACTGCCATCTTCCACCTCTAGCATTCACACTCCCTCTAACTCCATCTCAGAGAGTCCCTCTCTTTCTTTAAGATGCAGTTCAGGCACTATTCTTCTGCATTAAGCTTTTCCTGATCTCCTCAACTGTTATTGCCCTTCCCCCTTCCAAACTACCTTTATTTAATTACTCTGTGTATGGGTGTAAAGGTATGCATGTGTATAGTATTAACTTTATATTTATGCTATATGCATATGTATGTATGTTTCCCAGTTAGCATGTAAGTTCACCATGTAAAAGAAATGTTTCTTTTTTTTATACTTGTGTCCCCTGGTACATAATGGCTTCCTAATAAATACCTGTTCTTTGATAGATAATAAATTAAACCTCACAGTACAGGGAACATAGGGATTGAAGAAATGAAGCAGCAATTCCCCTACATTCTCAAAATAATTCAAGTTGTAAATGAGTGTACTTCCCAGATACAAACCATGAGTTATTGAAGGCCTGGGTGAAAATACCCAGTTGCAACAGCATCACAAAATAGAACCTTTAGTGAAAACTTCAAACATTTCAAATCCTATTAAAGGAAAGACTTCTATAACAAAAATCCAGCTCATCCCTCATTTGTTTTGAGCAATGTAATACAAAAAGTATATAAATTAAAATAGTATTTATATACCAAAATTTAATTATCACATGTATATAATACTAGTTTCACATTAATCTTTTCTCTCATACTCATACGCCAAGATCCTAATATAGATATTTACTGAATTCTACAATACCGAGCAGGATCAAGCCCCAAGCTCCAGTGTTTTCAATTCCTTTCCTACTTCACCCTCTCAGTTTTCAGATCTCTCAGAACCTTCTTTATGACCACTAAAGCACTAAAACATTATATTTATATATTTAATTTTTTTGAAGAGAAAAAAATTTTGCCTTTATCTCATTCTGACACAGCAGGACACAAAACAGAAATGAGGGGTGAGGAGTGGGGGATGGAAGAAGAGCTAAGGGAGGAAGAAGTATGGACATGAAGACAGGTTAACTATTCCAAACAGAGAAAGGTCTAGCTCAAGGGTTCTTAACTTTTTTTGTGTCATGGACACCTTTGACAATCCAATGAAACCTATAGATCCATTCTCACAATAATATTTTCAAATAACTGAAGGAAATGCTAAATTTCAGTTTAGGGTTTGGTGGAAATAAATATTTAACCCCATCCAAATTCATAGACTCCTCTTAAATCTATTCAAAGATGACTTGGTGGGTTGCTAGCAATAAATTCACACCAAGAAAACTATTTTTCAATTAAAATTTGCCATTCCAAATATTTTAAATCTGTCAAGTTCTATTATTTTCCTCTCAAACTCCCAATATACAAAATGTTAAACCATCAATAAAACTCTCAAGTTTTCTTTTGTTTGTTTTTGTTGGGCAATGGGGGTTAAGTGACTTGCCCAGGGTCACACAGCTACTAAGTGTTATGTGTCTGAGGTCGGATTTGAACTCAGGTCCTCCTGGATCCAGGGCTAGTGGTCTATCCACTGAGCCACCTAGCTACCCCCTCAAGTTCTTTTCTAATGCAACTTAGTATGCATCAATCAACATAGTATGTTGATGATAAACTGTGTAGCTATATGTGCATGTATATGTGTATGTGTGTATATATATCATTAATGATTAAATGCATCAACAAACCAAAGAATCACAGAAGGGCAGAATGGGAAGAAACCACAAAAATTGTCAAATATTTATAATGGCAGCTGCAAAATTCACTTAACTAAGAAAAAAGGCAATTCCCTCTCAGTTTGGCCTTCTCTCCCTATATACAGCTCAAAACCCCTTGACATTACTTTATTGAGTCCCTCATGAAGATGTGACCCTTCTTACTGGGTCAACTCCCCCTTGATTCCATCCTCTTGTCTTTTCCAATAATTTGTCCCTACAATTATCCTTTCTCTCTAATTTTCAAAATCTCTCTTTTCTACTGCTTTCTTCCTTGCCACCTACAAATATGCACAGGTCACCCCCATACTTAGAAAAACCCTCGTGACCTTTTCATCATTTCAAGTTATCATCCCATCTTTCTACTACTTTTTTTCAAAGTCCCAGAAAAAAATTGTCTATGCTCATTGCCCCTAATTCTTCTCTTCTCACTCACTTCTCTACCCTTCGTAATTTGGCAACATCATCACTCAAATGAAACTGCTCTCTCCAAAATTGCCAATAATTTCAATTGCCAAATCTGAAGCCCTTTTCTGTCCTCAACCTTCTTGACTATTCTACACCATATGAGACTGTTTACCAACTTCCTGTCCAACTGTCTTCTCTGAGTTTTCTAGACATTGCTCTCTCCTGTGTCTCTTCTCACCTGTCTGACTACTCCTCAGTATTCTTTCCTGGATTATCATCCATATCATGCCCCTCTATCTGTGTGTTTATTCCAGGAGTTCATCTGAGACTACTTCTCTCCGTACACTTTCATTTGGTAATCTCAACGGCTCACCATTGTTTTGCTGTTCACCACTTTGCAGATGACTCTCTATCATCTATATACATCCCACCCCAGCCTCTCTCCTGAGTTCAAGTCTTGCACTACCAGCTGCCTATTGAACATTTTGAACTGAATGTCTTATAGGCACCTCAAACTCAGGAGAGAACTCATCATCCTCCGTTCTCCTAAGCCCACTACAAAGATGTGGTCCCCAGGCATAAAGAAGGAAATCCTTGCACTACATGATACCCTCAGATGAGACTTTCTCTTGACTTCAGGTCTACAAAGAACTTATATTTCCCCCACCTTGTGCTAGACTCTGTGGCCAACAACCTAGAACTGTGTGCCTTTTCTTTGAGCCTTTTTAATGACCTTCTCTATACGTCTTGCAATGATTTCTTCCCCATGATTTCACACTTATTGCTCCAATCCCTGTCCATCTACGGCACCCATTTTCTCTACCTATGCTGCTTGGTTTGCCAATAGCAAATTTCAAATAAACTGTAAGGAGAGAGTCAGCCTTTTGTGGCAAAACTGCCTAGTACTTACTGATCTAGTCTGGTTGCTAGAACTCTACTTCTACAAAGTCATGAGATTTGATTCTTTATGATTCTCACTTCAGAGTCTGGTGTTCCCAAAGTTTCTTCCAAGACAGTGTTTCCTCCCAGAGAGACTACCATCCTTCTCTCTACTCTCCTTTTCCACTCTCCACTTTCCCACAATTCTAACCTTGTCATCCAGTCTGCTCTCATTCCCAGCTCATTGGCAGAACTTAAATGATAGCCCATTATAGAGCCAATAAATAACAAACACCACTCCCTAAATCAATGTGGTAACATCTAACAATTTCCCCTTGTGCTCACGCTGCTGTGTCATGGCTCACAGGGAAAGCAATTTACATCTCACTACTTAAGTAGTTTACTAAAATACAGATTCACAATTAGAAAAACTCTTTTAAAATTCAATTACAAAAACTTCCCTCGATAAATCAGGTCATGAATATCAATACTTTTTCTCTTTACTAAAATTCAATTAGTGTTCCATGAGATATTTCTCCTAAAAATGAATCCTTTTCTAGTATTTCTTCCTTTTAAGGAAATTCAATTCTACTTTCAGTGGGGAAAAACTATTATATTGGTCATATGTCCTAAATTTGCACTTCTCAATATTTTCTTTGCCCACCATGCTCAAAGGAAAAAAACAATTTAAAATAAGTTACCAAAACATAAAATCTATAGCCATGAAACATTATATTCATTTCCATTACAAGTAATCTAAGACTTCCCTCCCAGGAAACAGTATGATTCTCACACTTGGTCCCTAGAAGAGGTTATCTGAAGTCTTTCCTTAACTGGCTTCTTAATATAGAATCTCTATGCTAGTTTTATACAGAACATGCCTTTCTACTTCTTAGACTTTAAGCGTAATGCAAGCAAAGAATGACTTCCTAAAGTGGAAATGAGTCATCAACCTCTGGCAGGAAGTACACCATAATCAAAATAACCCTTCTCATCCTGGTTAAAGGCCAGTTAAGGGTAGATGTCTATAAAATTAAGCTTGCAGTCACTGAAGAATCTTTAAAAAAAAAAAAGTTAACATTTTTTAAGTGGAAATAAAGCTAAAAGTTATCTCTTTGCCTGATGATAAAACATGCCCCCAAACTGGCTGATTTCCCTTAAGAATTTCAGAAAATTAAGAGCTAAGAGCTAAGAACGCTAGAGATAAAAATGAGCTAGAGTTTAACATACTATTTACGTAAAAAACAAAAAGACATTTACATGATGTAAGGAGAAGCCTGGAAAGTCAGGAGACCTAAATTTTAGGTCCTCACTACTCTTTGACTGTTTTGCCATGTGAGGAGGAGTAAGTCAAAGTCTCTGATACTAATCTATAAAACAAACTGTAAAACATCAACCTTTTCTACCTGATATATGGCTCACAGAAATATCCTAAGGATAAAATAAGGTACATTAAAGGACTG